GGAGTCAGACCCTAGGAGGGTGGAGCCAGACCCTAGGAGGGGTGGAGTCAGACCCTAGGAGGGTGGAGCCAGACCCTAGGAGGGTGGAGCCAGACCCTAGGACCCTAGGAGGGTGGAGTCAGACCCTAGGACCCTAGGAGGGTGGAGTCAGACCCTAGGACTCTAGAAGGGTGGAGTCAGACCCTAGGAGGGTGAAATCAAACCCTAAGAGGGTGGAGCCAGACCCTAGGACCCTAGGAGGGTGGAGCCAGACCCTAGGACCCTAGGAAGGGTGGAGTCAGACCCTATGAGGGGTGGAACCAGGAACCCTGCCCACCTGAGCTCTTCGGGGCTCAGGAAGCCCAGGTCCCCGTAGTTGATGTGGAAGCTGAAGTCGTCGCTGTAGCGGTTGAAGGTGATGACCTTACGCTGCGGGTACGGCGCCATCCTCTGGAACAGGACGCGCCGGTTGTGCTTCTGGGTTTTCTGCCCGTCCTCCTCCTCCGTCTCCCGGGTGAACTCCACCTGGAGGGGCACCACAAAAACCTGCTTCTCAGAAGCTTTTTCACTAGTGATGAGTCCCTCCGTATGGAGCCTGGCGAACTGGCCGTGTCACATGACTGATTCAGGAAGTGGTTCACGGTTAGGCAGTCTATTTGAAATATAAGGGCTAATAAATTGCCTCACATTTTGTGAACTTGGGACTTAATTACGAGTTTGTTAGCGATCTATTCAAGCTTCCCTTCATTGTATCATAAAGACAGACGCCATATAAAAGTTTATAATTTATTTATAAGCATCACAAACATCCATTATGGTAACTCCTTATTCCCTAATGGGGTCGGGGGGGACTGGAGCCTATCCCAGTAGCCAATGGGGAGACGGCAGCGTCACAAAAATCATTTATTAATTCATTCAAACCTTCAGACCCCAAAGCCAGAGCCTCATTATAATGACTCTGTACGGTTTACATCTATTGTCCACTTGATAGTACAATAGAGAAAATGAAGCCCAATGAAGCTTTAACACACGAGTGAATCAATTGGATGGAACGCTTCAAAGATTTATGAAGCTTCATCTCGCCATCACTAGTTTTCACCTCTCAGCCTTTAGCTCAGGAGGCGCTTTAATGTACGAAGCAACAGGAAGCGTAAAACTCCCCAAAACAGCTGGAAAACTCATATATTTGACCACTTTACACAACTTGAATTTCATACAAAGGGATAAATAATGTCTAGTCTAAACTAGGCTGGTCCCGATTCGATATTTGAATCGGATTGGCCGCCGATATTTGCAAAACAAATGCATATTGGCCAGCAGGAGAAAATGCAGATCCAATTTTTTAAATTTTTTTTAAAGTCCAATCCCACACAAGCATTAGCATTAGCATCTGTAACCCACAGGTCTGTGTCCTAACCATTAACTTGTTATCGGAATAAATCCCTGTTCAACATGAGTCTGACAACTAAGTAAGTAGATAAATAACTTTAAACTTTAACACATGCTCTGATAGGCCGAGATCGGATTGGAAGTGAAAAAAGCTGGATTGGGACATCCCTAGTCTAAACAACTCTGAGCCTGAAATATGCTCGACTATCAACACCAAGTTTGGTGTTTTGACCATTTGAAAGCAGCTTTTTAGTAAAGTAAACAGAAAAAAAGCCTTTTCAGTGAGTATGAGGTTGTTTTCTGTATTGTTCTGGCAGCAGCTCCCATTTTCCTGCATTTTTACAGCAGAAATCAGTGAAAAAGCTCACTGTGAAAGCACGCCTTGCTTTAAATTTGCAATGCTTTTCAACAGGGACCTTCGAGGGCTAATCTAACCCTGTAATGTCCTCTGTTAAAACCTGATCTTCCTATTGGTGATCTAATCAAAATGGTCGACTTGGATATGGGGAAGTTGGATATCCATCCTTGGCTTCCTGCAGCCAGACGGACGTTATTAATGTTGGTGTGTTATTATTAGCCATTAGCCACAGCTAGCAATTCAAGGCTAATGTCACGTTAATGATCATAAACAACT